ACCATTAACATCGTATAAAACAAAAGATTACTTAGTTTCAAGATGTATGAAAAACTTTGCTATGCAATATAAAGACAAGTTTGGAATTGTTTGACACAATAAACTCACAGCGATACAAAAGCTTTAAGAAGTTGGCAAAATTATTCATAAGCAGCTGGAGTAAAGATGAAATTATATCGCTTGTCTTGGTCCCACATTGAAGTATCAGTTCCAACAAAATCGATAATCGAGAATTTGAACATCAAAATGCGCATTGTTACATTTCGTAAAAGTATTGTTCTACACTGTTTCAGAGACGACATTAACACTAGCAATTCGAATAGTTTGCGAGAAAACTCGTTCCAGCAAGTCCTTTTTGGCATCAAAACAGAGAGGCGCAAAAACACCATCTTCTATCGAAGATTTTCAAAAGATACTTTTCCAATTAAAGTGAGATAAGATTTAACGCATATTATAACAAATCAGTTGCGGTGTATAAGTGTGTTTGAGCATGATATAGCATCATCTACCTGGAGCCAGCGGCTATCCTTGACGTTGAGCAACTGCGTGACAATAGCTGAGTTTGGAGCTGAGACATTTCCGGGAATTGTTCCCGGAGCTAGACCGCCCGACTGAGCCACCACAGCACCAGCTCCAGCGGCGGTATTACTGTTCTCGTCGAACATGAAGCCTCTGTAAATGCCAATAAGCGAGTCTCGTTAGGATGCGCTAAAGCCGCAGAAAGCATGAATATGCGAATACAAGGAGGAAATGGGTTTCTTGTCATTTAAACCCAATAATGGGCATATGCGTCTTTTTTGTGACTTCAGAAAAGATTACGACATGTAGTAGGAAAGCCGAAAGGGTATACGGCAATTAGTAGTGATGCCGTGAGTGGTGTGAGTAAGACAACGAATATATGTTACATGAGGCAAACGGGCGTATTTCAACGGCTGAACAAGACGACTCTAAAACGGTGGTGGCCGTCCGTGATGTGCTGCGCTGGGAAACCGGTTGCACCAGCGACAGCGAAAACACATGCGCGATATATAGATAGCGTAGCATAAAAAGTCAATTGCACGCTGACTACGAAGCCACGAGACGGTAAGTAAGCAACATGGATATCAGATATGAAGATAGGGAGTTGGTGGCAAAGACACCACGATTAAGGCACTTTAGATTGAGAAAACACGGCGAAACAAGTAGGCCGCAGTTGATACGCGAAAGGCACCAGCAAACACACGAACATAAATGCTATGCCCACTGCTGAATAAGGGGGAGAGGGTGACGATGTGAGGACGGTGCGAAAGGGGGGGGAGGGGGTGGCGACGACTAGTTTGCATAGTCACATTTATCGCATCGCGCACGTCGGCATACCTCTGTATAATCGCGACGCGAATACACACGCACATTCAGAAGAAAACGTTGCGCTGTGCCGTACGAGAATAGTCCTCGGATGAAGCCCGGACCGACTCACCATACACGCCTCAACGCTGTGGTCACTCGACCCCTGAGGCAGCTTGCATGCACTTCAGCCACGCCCACCTACAGTAGGACAATGACAAGTAGGTATCGATCGCAGCCAAGAAAGCGGGTGGACTACCAGCGCGCCTATTACACCAATCGCAAAAATAAATCAAGCTGCGATATGCAAGGAATAGAAGTGACAATAAACCTTTCTGAAGTTTTTTCGCCTTAAATAGGAAATCCAAAATCCTGGCCGACACCAGAAATTCAGAAAATTATTGTGTACGTAAGAGCAATTACCCTAAATGAAATGAACAGGTTCGGAAATTATCTAAACCTCCAACAGATCCAAAAATACAAGGTTACCCATTTGAGGGATCGAAACCAATATTTTATTTAACAGTTCTAGATTCTCAACAGAAATCAATTTGAGGTTAGAATTTGCTAAGGCTTTTACTTTTCCATATAAACAATGAAAACGGCAAAGAATTGATTATCCAGAAAAGTGTAACAAGATCTTATTGACTACTTAGATTTCCTTGACAAAGAAGGGCCAATAACTACTTGTTTCAGCATTTTGGAAGACAATAACATTAAGTGGGAAAAATTATTCACTATGCTTTAACAAGTCAAACTAAAACTATTCTCGCTTTTGCAACATAACAGTTTCTGCAAGTCTATATTGAGCTGATTCCTTCACCAATTAGTTTTACCTTAATCTCCACTCCTTACACTTTCACAGAAATATGAAAAACAAAA